TCTAGAAAACCGCACTGTGGAAGACCGCCATTCATCCAGATGATCAGGATGGTATTTCAGTTTCTGGCAGTGGTACGGTGGTGAAACTCAGCAGCTGGTATTAATCTGAACAGTTCCTCAGAATACTCCCCGTGATATATGCGGTAGAAAATTATAAAGGCATTGAAATAAAGAAAAACAAATTAATGTGTGCTGTTCCTGTAGGTAGTTATATAAGATACGGTTACCGTTTACCATCAGGTGGACCGTTGCTTGCTTAGCAAAAACTTCCAATTAACCTTATATACCTAAATAATAATATTTCAGGACAATTCACTCAACGCCATCTAGTCCCAAGCTGAGCAGAGCTTGTATTATGGGTACTAGACAACTGATGTAAATATTTAGATTTTTTTTTAAATACGTACATAATACAGAGAGGAAACATCAACTGATACAAAAATCGTACTCATTAATACAAATATTAATGAACCCGCGACCATCGGAAGTAAAACGGTGTGCTGAACCGCTAGACCACCGAGGCACTCGATTCTATAGAATTATAAGATTACTAGCTACTCGCCCCGGCTTCGCCCGGATGTACATGTATTATATGTACTTATATATAAACCTTCCTCTAGATCACTCTATCTATGAAAAAAAACCGCATCTAAATACGTTCCGTAGTATTAAAAATTTAAGCATAGATGGGGACGAACAGACAGCGACAGCGACTTTGTTTTATACTATGTAATGATGATTTCTATTTCTATTCTTAGCAATGTACCGACTTGGTATCACAACACACGCGATTCCTGGAGTCCAATCCTCCAGGAAACCAACATAATAAATTCCAGGTGAATTTGTCACGATGAGCTAAACTGACCTGATCTCATGTTCACCTTATCATCCTCCACTAGTGCCCCGTCAGTGTAAACCGTAAGCGCAGGCGGGTGCACCATTCTATTATCATCCATAAAAAAACACTAGGATCACATTATCAAAGTCAGACCCGACGGCCCGTGCCGACCTTCCGATTGGCGCAGTAGTAGCTCTGCCCCGCCCTCTGCGCTGACTGAACGAAGTCGTCGCCACGGGCCGTCGGGTCTGTACTTGGAAATATGAGTCCACTCTTATTTATAGATACTGTGATATAATAAATAATAATAATACACAAATGATAATAATAATCTCAGGACAATTCACACAGCGCCATCTAGACCCAAGTTAAGCTAGCTAAAGCTTGTGTTATGAGCATACTACACAACTGATACAATTTTGTTTTCATAAATACATACATATTATACATGGAAAACACCCAGACCGATACAAACAATCATACTCATGAATATAAAAGTTTGTACCGTGCGAGGAATCGAACCTCGAAGCTTGTGTTATGATAACTGATACAAATATATGTATAAATATATTTTTTTTCGTAAATACATACATATTACACATAGAAAACACCCAGACCGATATAAACAATCATACTCATGAATACAAATGTTTGTGTCGTGCGAGGAATCGAACCCGCGACCATCTGTTAAACCGCTGGACCACCGAGGCCGTCAGTAGTAGGTACCTACCTACATTGATAGCAATAATAATAATAATAATAATCTTTATTTAATTCAGAAGTATCATTACAATGTTATTTATACAATAGTTACACTTTCTAGACAATATCAATCCTTTCAGTATTTCTGTGTAGTCCTGTCTTCTGAACTAGCATTAGCCGTATGACAGAAGCCAGTTCCTTCCCAATACAAGTACTTTTATTATAGAAGGATGAAAATTATTATAACATGATATATATAAACAATAATGGGATAATTAATGCACATTACCAACAATCCTCTTGCCCCTAAGTCTAGTGTTATAGCGCTGTGAACTGAAGTAGCTATGTAAGTATAATCTGTTTGTATGTTTGTTGCATTTAGTAGGGGATGATGGGGGTAAAACGTAGGATGAGTAGTCATGCTCACTAAAATGTCCAGACATGTGGCGGCGTGGTGGGCCGGGTCAATGGGCTCCCTAAAATATGGTCGAGCGCAGTGATGGCTGGCTCATCCGTCATACTCGTGAACGAGTGCTGCTTGTAGGGACTGGTCTGCTCTTATCACTACGACTGATTTAATCATATGGCATGATTATATTTGACCCAAAAAATTTGTGCTTGTTGGTAGTTTGTATTCACACGTTTCGACTTGTAAATGTAAACTTACAAGGATTATTTAAAAGAGCAACACACAAGTTTCTCGCTCGTTCTTCTTGTGATGAGACAGCTTTCCGAACAAGTGGTAGATAAAAAACAAATTGTTATGACTATTCAAAAGTGCTTAAATTAAGTTTATTTGAATAAATGATTTTCTATTCTATTCTATTCTATTCTATTAGGTAGAACGCAGACCGTAGCAGAGGTCGATAAAGTTATTACAGTGTCAATAGAAATTTTGATGTATTTTTATATAGGCATACTAGCTGTGCCTGCGACTTCGTCCGCGTGGAATTTATCTTTACTTTTCTAAAATAAAAGTAGCCTAAGTTACTCCTTATTAGGTACATTAGGCAGAAATATTTTTATAATGATTTATTTAAATCATCTGCTCGCTTAATTCTAGCTGCAGCCGCGACTTCGCCCGCGTGAAAGTAAACTTTATTTTATTTTATTAAATCCAAAATAAAGGTAGCCTAAGTTACTCCTTATTACATCAGGTACCTGCCAAAAAAAGTCCCGTCAAAATCGGTCCAGCCATTTCAGAGATTATCCGGAACAAACAGACCGACAGACAGTTAATCAAAAATTGTAAAAAGTGGTTTTTTGGTATATGCACCGTATTTATATATAATACATATACATGTAGTAAAAACTCTTATTTCAATATTACAAAAGGACACTCCAATTTTATTTATATGTATATATATATGTATAGATTATAACTATTATTTATGTTTAGGGTAAAACCGGCCTCACTTTCAAAAAAACATACTTCCGAAACTCGTGACTAAGAGTTATAGTACCTATATGTAGGAGCCGAAGTCACTGCGCAGCGAACTTCAGAAACACGTAAAAGATTTAAAGGTTAGTATTTGACGTTGTGTTACTTTTACTGTGTTAGTATAAATAGTACTAAATTCTGTTATATTTCCTACTAGCTTTTGCGCGCGGCTTCGCTCGCATTAATTTATCCCTTTAGGGGTGGTATCAAAATCCTTTCTTAGCCTACGTCATAGTAGCTTTATGCAAGCAAAGTCTCAGCCTGATCGGTTTAAAATTAACAAAGTTTCATACAAATTTTCATCCCCATTTTATCCCCTTGGGAGTACAATTAATCAAAATCCTTTCTTAGCGGATGCCTACGTCATAACATCTACCTGCATGTCAAATTTCAGCCCGATCCGTCCAGTGGTTTCGGCTGTGGGTTGATAGATCACTATGTCAGTCACCTTTGAGTTATATATATTTAGATTACGTCAATATATTGGCCCAATAAGTGTGCATCTAGATGTGTGTTACATCTAGATGCACACTTCTTTTATATTTATTTAGAAAATACTTGGTAATTTTTATTGCCCTTAGGGGCATCTATTCCTTGTTTGTAAGTTTTATTGAACGAAATCCGGTCTATTTTAATTTAAATAATAACTATAATTATATATAAGTAATTTAGCAATTAAGAATCCATATATTTGTTGAACAACTACTTTAAAAAGTATATTATTATTATTTTTGTTATAAAATTATTTAAAACAATTAAAATATTTAAAAAAGTGCTTTTCCATTATTCTACACATGTCTCTTGGAAGCAATTGCTGTTTGAGGAGTAGGACGACCTCATCTTTGGTTACGTTTTTCGTTTACACAGTATAAAGGGCATCTATCCTTCTAAACATTTTCATGGTGGGGCACCTATCCATACAGACTGGCATCTATCCTCAAAAATAGGGTTCCACATAAAGCTAAATTCTGCAAAATCTGTAATTGATAGGTCAAAAAATAAAAACTGTAATTCAACATAAATAATTAAACTAATTATATACATAGGAATTGTTCGTATATAAGTAATATTTAAAGAATTAGGCAATTTAAAACAATGGCTCATCTATCGCTGTTTTACCCTAAATATATGTACAATAAAAGTAGGTAAACGTTTTGAACATTGGTAGGTAGGTATCTATTGGAAAACGTTTAGAATTATTTTACTATTTATTTACATTTTATTTTTCAAATTAAATTATCATTGTGTCATAAATATTACCTAATTCAGTGCTAATAAGGACCTGCACACCCACAAATAGGTAGGTTAGTGTATTTGTCACTTTCTTCTGAACTATGTTGGTATTTTGAAAAAGAAACTAACAATATATCCGAAACCAATGTAATTGTGCACTTAGGTATATGTTTAGTCAAATAGTGTGTTACGTAAGTACAACAAACTATAAATATTAATGTATAATAATTTTCGAATAAATAAAAAAATAGACACACTTCAATAAGTAGGTACCCACGAGATATTTATTAAAAGTTAGATAGATATATCAATTCTACAATACAATTATAACCAACTCTAGTTGTCCTCTTATTTGACTTTAAACAAACGTAGTTAATTGCACTTGTCAATAAATACCATGCGATAAATGTCTACAACAAACGCAACAAACACTGCCAGGTAACCAAACATCAAAGCGTCCAAACGTTCGAGTGTGTAGAGGCGACACATACGAATTGTAACCGTTCCCAACTGTGCTACATAATTAGCGAGCGAGCGCGGCCTAGCGAGCGGCAGACCGGTCCGCCTCCCCACTACCGAGCGCACCGCACTAGCGGCACGCGCCGGGACCGAGCCGCAGCCCGGCCCGCCGCGCCCCTACACTCCCAACCCCCGGCCTCCACCAATCGCGTACCCGGCCCGACGCCATAGGCCGCCGCGCGCACCGCGGGGCGGAGCCCCTCGAGTGGCCGTAACCCGCGCCGGGGGCTCCGGGCGCCACTCTCGCCCCGAGAGCCACTAGAGGCTGAGCCGTCGAGTGGCGTCGAGTGCCGGCCGGTCGGATGTCCGCGGAGGGCGGCGGCTACTCGCCGTGTCCGGCGGAGGCGCTGCCGGAGCTGAGCGCTGCCGAGCTGGCGATGAGCCTATCGCCAAAATCGGCCCTGCTGCAGCAAAACCTTTCCCAGCTGCAGCTTCAGCACTCGACCCCGTTCTCGGTCACCGATATCCTGTCGCCGATAGAGGAATACCGCAAGTTGGAGTTGGCGAACAACCCGCCTTCGCCGTACAGGTGCGTGGATCGATCGAGGGGGGGGAGGGGACCCTCCACCCGCTGATTTTTCGAGTGCCAAAGGTCCCGACGAGAGTGCTTGAGCGACGCTCGTAGTCGAAGGATATAGTTCGGTGACGTTTGTTTGTGCAGGTATGTTGTGATTGGCGGTCAAGTGATGATGCGATGTGAATGTGCTATCAACAACGTGCTTTATGTACAAGGACTCGTACACTATCATGCCGCGAAACACATATCACAATGCCCTTTCGGAATTTCCGCGATATTTTAATACTTTGCGGTACTTCGGTTTTATTCGTAATAGCTAGAATTTATTATTCGAAATTATGGACCTAAAGTGATACCCTGGGAGACACCAACCTCTTTCAACAGACAACGATGCGTGGAGGCGACATGCATGTTGAAGCCTTTATGCATATGTATGTATTAACAGTTAATGATTATTAACACAAGTTTAATAATTAATAGTTTCTTCTATCAATATTATATAGGTGACTTAATCAAAGGCCTTCGAAAGATCCAAAAGTAAAATATTTCGAAAATTATAATTTAAAAAGAAAAATAATTCGTCCCTTTTTTAATCATAAACTATAAAAACTATATCGAAACTAGTGGTACTTAACAATAATTAGGTTCATATAGTCCAGTCTACGTAGACTATACGGTTTTTGAATAGGTCCAAATATATTTAATATAATATTGAAAAAACGATAAAATTAAACAAAAGAATACGTTTGCGAACAGCATTGCTGTTTTATCTATCAAGTCTGTTACATTTTTAGGATCATATATTTTTTTACAACAGTTTAAATTTGTCACAACTAAAGATTTAATAGCGATCAGCTTTACGGAAAACTTATTCATAAATACAAATGACAAGGACTTTTTGCTTCTTTTTTGTTTATGTAAATAGTTACCTACCAATACTTAATTGTTAAATTATTTATTTGTTGATAAAAACATACAAATACCTAATTAAACAAACCATACACCATTTTATATTTAACGCAGTTACAATATTTTCCAAATAAAAAAAATATTATTTAGTTACAATTACAAAGCATTACAATAGTTGAAGTGGATTTGAAGGTTTTATTCAGAGACATAAGGTTTTTACTCTTAGATATCTAAGAATTAAAACCTTATATCTATGAATTAAAACCTATTGTCATTTATTTAGTTTATTAAGATTAACTTCGGATATAAGTGTATAACGATATTCATAAATACTAGATACGGAATGTTTCACCGGAAATAATACAGAGTACTTATTCCCGCCTTTTTTATTTTTGAATGTCAAACAGCTGACTGTTCCTTTAATGAAAATAGTATCCATCAGTTATGGTCTTAAATAAAACCTGTTCTTGGTCGTGATATAACTCTAGTGTTGCTTCCGTCTAACTAGCTTAGCCTTCAAATTGTGTCTATATTACTTAAAAAAAAATCTACCTCTAACAGCAAAAAGCAGAAATAGTAGTTTTTTAGTAGTTAGGATACCTTTACCTTCAAATTCAGTCTATGTTAAATTAAAAAAAAATCTAGCCCAACAACATAAAGCAGAAATGGTAGTTTTTTATTAGTTAGGATATCTTTGCCTTCAAATTGAGTCTATGTTAAATTAAAAATAAAATATTACCGTATTAATAGCGGATATGGTAAACTACAATACCAATTGTTTGCAGATAAAAATATATTATTTCTCTTTTTTTCGTATCATCATTACATAGTATAAAACAAAGTCGCTATCTTTGTCTGTCCGTCCCTATATATGCTTAAATCTTTAAAACTACGCGACGGATTTTGAAGCGGTTTATTTTAGTAGATAGAGTGATTCAAGAAGAAGGTTTATATGTATAATACATGTACATCCGTGCGAAGCCGGGGCGAATAGCTAGTTAACTATAAAACATTATGCGTAATCATCAGTCTGAATGATTAATTATTTAATATTTTTAATTTTGTAATAATTTGCAAATTTCATCGAAACCAACGTACAGTTATTTATAATTAATATCCGTGACTCGTTAATAAACATTCACATCGTCATAATTTGATTTCCAATGTATTATTGTTAATATTAATATTAAATTTATTAACTTTCACATCTATACATATAAATAAAATTGGAGTGTCTGTTTGAAATATTGAAATAACCGTTTTTTAATACATGAATATGAATATAAATACGGTACATACACCAAAATAACATTTTTTACAATTTTTTTCTGTCTGTCTGTCGGTCTGTTTGTTCCGGCTAATATCTGAAATAGCTGTACCGATTTTGACGGCAGGTAGCTGATGTAATAAGGAGTAACTTAGGCTACTTTTATTTCAGAAAAATCTATTATTTTAGATAAATTAAATTAAATTTAAGTTAATAATAGAATTAAGCAATCAAATTAAAGGTTTAAATAAATCATTATAAAAACATTTCAGTAATTTCATAACAGTTTGTAGCAATAATTGTCGCAGAAAAAGGAATAATAATAACCGCGGACAACGTGTAGCGCCATCTAGTCCCAAGTTAAGCAGAACTTGTGTTATGGGTACTAAGCAACTTATATACTTATATATTTTTGTTGTACATACATAATATACATTAAAAGAAATCAGACCGATACAAACAATTCTTGCGAATACAAAAGTTTGTACATTGAATTGTACCCGCGACCATCGGAAGTAAGGCGATGTGCTAAACCGCTAAAACACAAAAATGTGTATATAAATGCGATAGTCTAGCTGTATGTTTGTTGGTTATCTTTTCATGTGGATTTTGTGAATTTGACGTAGATACAAATTAAATCACCTAGGTATATTCACGAGAACAGACAAAGGCTCTCTTTTACGTTATAAAAGGCAGACCAATTCGCGGATTACTGTTAGTTTCTTAATTTACGAAGTGACATATACTTTCGCAAAATACTAATAAAAATAATACTCTTGTTAAATTTTGACTTTAATTTCCTGCATCAAAAATTATTGGAGAAAGTATAAACGGTTAAAAAAACGGTATTACGGATTGTATATTGGAATCGGTTTTTCCTATTTACAAGTAGGTTGTGTTGCCTCATATATTTAACTAGCAGTGCCTGCGACTTCCTCCGCGTAAAATGATGATACTTTCATATAACCTTTACACCTTCTTTCGAATTAAAAAGTTGCTTACGTTCTCAGGGTCTGGACTATCTGCGTACCAAATTTAATTTAAATCGGTTCAGTAGTTTCGGCGTGAAAAGACAGACAGACTGTCAGAGTTTCGTCTTTATAGCATTAGTAAGAATAGCACTTAGTTTTTTTTATAAGATCTGTGATATTTACTTTGGTATTGAAATTTCTCCCTGTAACATGTTAATGGTCATATTAAATAAATCTTAAAATAAACCGTAAAACCTGTAGAATATCGGAACTAACCGGTAATATTAAAATTAATGTGGATACAGTAATTTTTAAAAGCATCAAAAATAATCGATAATCGGATTAAGTTTTAACCGTTAAAAACGGTATTACAGAATGTATATTTGAATCGGTTTTTCTATCTATAAATGGCTTGTATTGCCTCATATATATATATATATATAATGCACTTAATTTTTTCATAAGATCTGTGATATTTGCTTTGCTATTGAAGTTTCTACCTGTAACATGTTAATGGTCATATTAATAATTACATAGTATAAAACAAAGTCGCTGTCGCTGTCTGTCCGTCCCAATGTATGCTTAAATCTTTAAAACTACGCAACGGATTTTGAAGCGGTTTTTTTAATAGATAGAGTGATTCAAGAGGAATGTTTATATATTTAATAGATGTACACCCGTGCGAAGCCGGGGCGAGTAGCTAGTATAGTATAAAACAAAGTAAAATAAAGTCGCTGTCGCCATCTGTCCCTATGTATGCTTAAATCTTTAAAACTACGCAACGGATATTGAAGCGGTTTTTTAATAGATAGAGTGATTCAAGAGGAAGGTTTATATATATAATACATGTTCACCCGTGTGAAACCGGGGCGAGTAGATAGTAATATTATAAACGCGAAAATTTGTGAGTATATATGAATGTTTGTTACTCTTTCACGCAAAATCTAATGTACGGATTGTGATGAAACTGTAGGTACAGTATATATAGTAACTGTATGTACAGTTATATATAGTAGCTCATACATCAGAATAACACAATATATAATTTAAAAAAATATTATGTAAATTGCGCGACATATACCTAACTATATGTATATGTCACGTAAGTGTGATGCAGACAACGTTTGCAGAATGCAGACGCGGGTCAGCTAGTGTTAAATAAATATCTAAATTAGTAGAATATCGAAAGTAACCAGTAATAAGTATATTGTATACTAATATTTTTAATGCGTATGCCTATCTCTTAGTTACCTTTTAACTACTAAACAACGACAACTGTTGTTGTAATATTGTTCATATAGGCGACGGTTGGCACTTACTACCAGCTGAGTTGTCACATTATTTGCTTTTCTAATTATATAAAATGAGAAAACCGTATCATTGATTACGTTTCGTGGTTTGAAAATGTTGCTGTTTTAGAATAGAATAGAATAGAAAATCATTTCTTCAAATAAACTTACATTGAAGCACTTTTGAATAGTCTTCACATTTTTTCAATCTACCTCTCATTTGACGACCTCGGTGGTCTAGCGGTCTGGTACACCGCTTTACGTCCGATGGTCGCGGGTTCGATTCCTCGCACGGTACAAACATTTATATTCATGAGTATGATTGTTTGTATTGCTCTGAGTGTTTTCTATGTTTAATATGTATGTATTTACGAAAAAAAAAAATTGTATCAGTTGTCTAGTACCCATAACACAAGCTTTAGCTAGCTTAACTTGGGTCTAGATGGCGCTGTGTGAATTGTCCTGAGATTATTATTATTTTTTTTCTCGGATTTTGCTGGTTTATTATTATTATTATTTGGAAAGCTCATAACTAGAAAGAGCGAAAGAGTAATACTTACTACTTTCTCTACTTCT